CAAATAAATATTTTGTTTATTTACTGAACAATTAATGTCTGCATCTCAATGCAATAACTTTACATAAATAATATTTTAATTCATAAAGAAAACTTATATAAAAAATTGAGATTTTTATCATTATTTGATAATACATTTTTATATATTTCTATTAGAATACAAATTTAAAAAATATTATTTTTTATTGAAATAACTTTTGATCTGATGGTCAATTGTCTCTAATCTTTTTATTATTGTACTTTTAAATGTAATTTAGAATAATCTATAATTTTTTCAAGTAATTCTTAATATTGCATTTGTCTTACAATCTCCTTAACACAAACATTTACAATGTAATGATTTATCAGGGATATTCCAGTCATAAGAAATATAATCATTGATTATTCATTAAATATACTTCATTTTGAGTCTATATGTTGACGAATTAGTTTTAAATATATAACGATCTAACTGTTAAATTAGTTATAACAAATTAGTTATAACAAAAAATTAGTTATAACAAAGTTACAAGTATTATAAATGAAAAGAAAGGAATGGAGTTAAGTTACATTACCGAAAAAAATTAAGTTAAGTTAAATTACTAGAAAAACTCCAATTATAATTTCTAACTATACAATAACAATTTCGTAACCTAGCTGCAAAATATGCTTATGTAAATTGCAGAAATACTTGTTTCCCTGTTTCTATCAGAATATTGTAATCTCTTTAAACAACAGCTGCTTAAATTAACAGGTAATCTGTAAATCAAAGATAATCGAAACTGTCGATGCAGCTGAGCTTAAATCCGATCAGAGATTTTGCGTACCCGGACTCTCAATCGCATGTCGCGTGAGGCATACAAATAGAGTAGCGTTGTGCCGTTGTATCGCGCATCGCAGCACGATGCGCCCACGGGAATTCATGTGCCTCGACAGCTGCGACGATTTTCGATGACTCCGAAACTTTGTGAATTTTCGGTGAATCATTTATTCGCACGGCCAAAGATTCTCACAGAAACTACTTGAAACTAGATGTGCATTGCATGTACAAAGTACGCACACATACAAACGCACACATGCATACATATGTCGCATACGGAAGATGCGGATCCGCGGCGGTGATGCGGATAAACGAAGCTGTTATCAGGGGAATAATGGAAAATCTTAAGATCAATTTTGATCAAATGTTACGAGCAAGTTGAAAGAGTTGGATAATCATGCTTTGAAGATTTGCCCCAGGCACTTTGGATTATGCATTAGCTTTGATTGCATGTATATAAAAGATTTACATTAACGTTTAATGGTTTATGGAATATGTAGGACATATTAATCCTGGATTATTTTAATGCATTAAATTATTACGAAATTTGTTT